GAACTCAGTTACGAATGTAGATAACAACGATAAATAGGTCTGCGACGAAATGCATCTTCACTTTTTTGTATACTTAGAAGCAACTGTTCAACGTCCGCTTGAGTTTAAGGCTGTAAACCTAAGAGTACATTGAGTTAAGAAGACGCACATACGCTCACGCACATGCAAATACCGCATCTAATCTAGTCTTCCTTCGAAATCTTTTTTTAGTTGTCTTTGAAAATTTATCTTCTTTCTGGCCTACATAGTTGATACTCGTTGTTCGTGACAGTGTTTCAACTGGCACTTGTTATTATTGTACAATACAGTCAGTCATTCACTAAGTTGGTGATGGGAAGGAGAGAAAAATTTAAAAAAAAAAAAAAAAAAATTTATATAAAAATGAAAAAATAAAAAGAAAAATTGTTGCATACCATAATTGCTAAGCTAATGGATTTCTGTTTACCTTTTCACTTAGCTGTAGAAAACGTAGCTGACTGTGCCATGAACACGACACACGCTGTACCGGCACACTGCCACGAAAGCAAATGAATAAAGGAAATGCAGTAAAAGGAGGGGACGTCTAAAAGAAAAAATAAATCTAAAATACCAGGAAAAGTAATTAAATCTCTTGTAAATAAAAGACACACAGAATAAAAATAGCAAAAATTAGCAAATAGTAAATTGCTGGTCTCTGTTTTCAATTTACATCAGGTTAAGGGAAAATTCGGTTTAAATAAAAAATTAAATTGCTTATGGAAAACTGCGAACGTAAACACCACAAAAACAGCTTTTAAAATACAGTTAAAGAAAATTTAAAACGAATATCAAATAAAATCCTTAAACAATTTTTTTTGTGGCCCTGTCACGTTACATGCAAGGATATTTAATAGATTTACAGTCAACAGCAGCTCTTTCGCAATGTTTAAGCTTATATCAGAATGTCTGACGTGCTTTTTAAAAATTTTTCCATTCTACGACATGTCTGCGACCCGGAAAATATAAAGGCCTTTTAACAAGTTTTATAGCCACTGACCTGCAGGATTTGGCTTCCAGAACATTTTTCTTCCTTCTAAATGTTCTTATTCTACCAATTTGTCTTGATGATCCGTAGCAGTGTCCATTCAGTATCGTACACATTTGTCCATCTTTTTACTCATCAGACATTTTCGTATTACAAGTGCAGCAAGGCAATCGAAATGAATTGATTTGAACCGGTTTGAACTGAACTAAGTTGAGCTGAAGGGAACTACTCTAATTTGACCTAGATTAACTTGAATTGAATTGTATTGAATTGAGTTGATTTCAATCGAATTTGACCAACTTGAACTGAACTCAGGTGTAGGGTGTAGACTGTGTAAGGTGCTCCTTAGTAATATTTTAAGATAAAGAAAGTTAACACGATTAGTTCTGTTGACAGACGGTTTTAATTGAGCTAAGCTTAACACGGGCAGAGAATTGCTTCAATTGTTAACTAAACTAATTTTCACATATTAGTTAGATAAATATATTATATGAATTTCATTAAATCGGAACTAAGGCCGCCAATGATTAAAACGAGCAGCAATGCATTAAGAAGGAAAATGGAATCAAGGAATTTATTATAAAATTTTACTATCGACTATGAGAAAGTATCCCTGAGATCGGAGATAGTTAAAAATTTATGTAGGATTAATAGTGAAGCACAAAACTCTTTCTATTTCACATTGAAAGAGATATCGAGATTATATTTAATCCAAGCGTGGATAAGATTGAAATCAGCTTCATGACACTCACCAAGCTGTCGGGCTATTTATAAAATCTGTATTAGCCATTAGTGCAGGTATTAGCAGTAGCTGTTAATGCAGGAACGTTGTGGGCATCCTGAACAGTCTAAAACCATCCAAACAATCAGATGAAAAGAAATTAAGAGACTAAATATTCATGAGTGTCCGCAATTTATGAGATATATTCCGTCCTTTTCTGCTCTGAGTCAATTCAAAGCTTGTCGCTGGTTGCATATTAATTGTATGTGAAAAATATAACGCTTTTAAAATTATTTCGTATTTCGGTCTATGATTCCCTAATAATGGATATTAAAAGCGTCATAAAGCTAAATGTTATACCTTCGCACGTTATATGTTCCCATAAATCAACTAAATGAAAATAATAGAGCAGAATAGAGTCACTATTATTATCAACGTCATCATTATCGTCAACGAAATGCGTCGGTAATGACAAGTATGGCAATAAAACAGAAATGAAAGGCAAAAAGAAAATGTAGCAATTATAGCAACAACAACGACAACATTGACAACTATATGTGCGTAATGGTGAGGAAATAATTAACAATTTATTTAAATAAATGAGCACAAAACCGCTTTCAAAAGTGTTTTGCACTTTAGCATATACATTTAGTTACTATATAAGCGTATACGTGTATGTTGTTTTAGCAATAGGTCGTTAAGTACATATATTGTGTGTATTTGTGTTTGTGTGCGCATATCTATGTGTGCTTTGTACACTATTTTGCAAATGTTTTTGAAAAAGCCATTTTCAATTAAATGACTAACACAGCTTGCGAGCTTAGCCGGCATATAGCCGGCATCGCATAAATCACAGTTAGTATAAGTGAATTATGGGTCGATAAACTGAAATTTTTGTAGTCCGAGATTATAGGAAAGATTTTAAAATAAAGTTCTCATTAGACATTGCAGGAATTAAAGCAAGTTAATTGAATTTTACAGGATAGCAGTCCAAGAGTTTTCACGCAAAGGAATGCAAGCTTGCGTTTATTGCGAAAAAAAAGTGCTGATCCTATCTTTACGATCTCATCGAAAAATGTTATAGACTTCATTAACAAGATTTTTAAAGTTGTTTTGGACGCCTGCGCGTCCGACATCCATTTGAGGAAAATTGGGATAGAAACTTAAACCTTAGCGTATAAGCGCCTAATGGAGGCAACGTAATGTCCGCTGACAAATTATAGCAAATATTTATTTATCTATAAGAGTAGGTAAGAAGTAAATTTAAAAAAGGAGTCATTTGCAGCATGTAACTTCTGGTTGAACGCTATCTGCATTTGGGTTTATTAAAAGGTGCTCAAAGGAATTTGATGATCCTTATGTAACGAAAGGTCTCCAAACGTTAAGGCCGTTAGCTGCTTATGCGTCGTCACTTGGCTTCCCAGTTACAATTGATATGGTTGCAGAAATCCAGACACAATTTTCCTTGTTTGCCTTGACAATATTACAATGGGATACTAATAGAACACATTACCTCCGTACGAACATTTGGCTACTCCTGAGCGCAGCAATTGGTTCCTGGAATAGAGTTTTCCCTGAAACTTACTCAAACTTACATTTCGTCATCAGACTTGCATAATAGGCCTGATTTTAATATTCCTACGAGAGCTTCGAGGAACTTCATTCCTCCTCGTTTAGTGCAGTGTAGGAGAGTAATATTATGTGCTCTTTTCTCCTTCTTGGTGTTTTTTAACAAATTGCTTACGACTTCTACTATTTATTTTCGATGGACGATTCAGTGCTATAAGGGCCTTGCTTAATTTACGTTATTAGGAAGACTTCTCAATTCCACATAATTCGTCTTAGGGCGAATTGTTGGCTCCCGTAATTTCATTCTTTGCAATTTAAATGTTTATTTAATAGATATGTCTCATTCTCCTTCTTCACACACTTGCAAGGAATGAATCGTTCATTTCGGTTACTTACTTGGTTTAACATATAATTTGTGGCTGCTTAAGTAGTGGGGTATATAACTTTGCTTGTTAGTCTTATTATTATTATTATTATTATTATTATAAATTTAGCTAGAGAATCAATTCCAAGACTAAAAAGTCGTAACACACTAGCAGCTAAGACTCTCGGCCTTATTAAAAACTCTAACGCTCTTGAGGTTCAGTTGCTAGCTGATTGAGTTGCCTACTCGGCCACTCAGGCGGATTTGTTAGTCTTAATTTAGTAAAAATATTTTACTTTTAATTTGTAATTGTTTGATATCATCTTTTTAACTCATTTTGTGTTTAGCTGTATTAACTGGCGATGTATTTAACTAAATAAATAAATAACGCATCTTAACAAACAAAAAAAAAAAAACGTATTACATTTAGCGTTAACCAAATCTTTTAATTCTAATCCTTGAAATTATGGTTACAACATATCACCTATAGCGAATACAACTTCCTTACTTCTCTTTAAATGTTTCCACTTTATATAATATGTCAGGAAAAATTAAATTTGGAATAATTTAGTGAGTGATAAGAAGTAACATATGTACATAGGTAAGGGAAAGTGCTGCTCGTTTGGGGGAATAGCAAAAATTGTGTTGAGCACAGATGTTGCAAGAGTAGAGAATGTGTTATAAAGCGCTAGTGAACTAGACGACTTAAATTTAGGCGGAGTGCAGACTACAACTGCTATATTTTTGTAATATAAAAAAATATTAAATTCAAACATAGAGAAGAAGGCGAAGAGTCATTCCTATAAATTTACTGTTATATCTTGAATTCGCTTTAGCACACACACACAAATTTGAAAAATTGATACGCGTTGCCCGACGCACCAATAAAAATTTATTATCGATTTAATAGATTACACGCTGATCGAATTAATTTACTACAACGTGTAGCAAAGTTTAAGCAAAAAGGCTGCAGATTTCAAAGCACAATAACCACCAACTAGAGTAGACATAGACACAATCGTACTCAAAGTGATAAACCTATTCTTCCTGACAGGAATAAGGAGGAATACTGCGGAGTTGAGTATAATTGAGAATCACAGTTTGGAAAGCTTGAATTGGATTTGACATTAAATTGCTTAAATTAAATTAAAATTTATAATTACATTAGTGTGGTGCAATTATAATCCTTCGTAAAGACAGTGCTTACACCAAAAGATATTTCAGCTTCGTTTCTTTTTCCTTTGTTTTATGCTTTGTGCATTTCTCTAAATGTTTCATCTGTGAAATAATACTACCGTTTCAATTAATTTTCACTTTATTTTTCCTCGCTTTGTACATTCACATCATTCAATTTCAATTTTATAGCCTAAATCGATCGAAGCTCTTATATGCTCTTTAAGATTAATGAAACCATTACGCAACGATTCTTGTGTAAGGAATTCTCGTATTTTCTCCTCACTATCGCAAAATACCAAGTTCCCTGCGTTGTCAATCAATTTTTGCAAATGAACTTGCATACGATATAATATAAGTAAAGTATCACCTGCGAAGCCATCAGCGCCATTGTCAGATTGGCAACTGCTGCTGTCATGTGCGACATCGGGTTCAGTTGTGTCATGCCTTAGGCCACCAGCGAGTTTTACAAAACCTTGTGCTGCTGTAAAGTCGAGACCGCTGATTTTGTGGCAGTCGATAACTACGGGTATACGTTGTTTTGACTGAGCGGTGGCCTTGAGTACTTTGTCACGTAAATGATTGATGGCAGGAAAGTAAATGGCATTGCCTGGCGTAACACATATGTATTGCATATCATCGATCTGTTTCGTCATAGAAAATAAACAACATTGTGATAACGATGATGATGATAATGATGATGATGATGATTATGATGATAATAGTGTCTTTGGGTCGTGTCATACATACCTCTTGAATTTTCACCGCTATTTCAGGTCGTGCCCACAAGTACAACAAGTGCAAAACATTGATGATAATGCTAGCAAATAAACCCACCTCCACACCGCTGACAATGCAAACCACAAAACATACCAGCCATACGATAAAATCGCGTTTAGAGTCATGCCACAGACGCCAGGGTAATTTGAAATCGAGCAAAGTAAATAGGGAGCATATTAATATGGCGGCCAAAGTGGCTTCGGGTATGAAATTAAAGTAGGGGCTTAAATAGCTTAAAGCTAATAAAACAATCACCCCTAACAATAAGAAAATATATGTAGATTTGATGTGAAGCTTAAAATATATTTCATTTTTACCAGAATACAAGTTAGCGAGAGGTGTACACAAACCGCAAGCTTTGCTTATGGCATAACGTGTGAAGGCTCCTGAAGTAGGCATCGATTGAACACAAGAACCCGCAACGTTGCACAGACCCACTGTTAACAGCTCTTGATTGGTGTCCACCAAGCCCTTGGGAGCTAACGTTAAAAGAAATTTATATTTATCACAAAACGAGTTAACTTTTTCTTCTATATTCATCAAACTTACTCAATTTTCCTATAGATATATTTGTTAATATGCCGATTATTGGTATTACAAAGACTCCGACATTCAATTCCGTTAAAATCCGCCAAAATGTATATGTTTCCTCGGGAGTTTCAACAATGAACTGCGGTAGCGTGACATTAGGTAAGCCCGACAAAGCATTTTTACTCAACGTGTACGGTATATGACAGTTGTGCAGCAACGATATATACGAGATAGTAGCAGTAATTACTACTATCAGCGTGTTGCGTGAAAATGACAGGTAACGAAATAATAAACGGACCACTTTATTGCTACTTGAACGCTTTGAGAATTTTTCAAATGACTGAGAATAAATCAAAATAAAATTCTGTCGGTCAAAAAACATGTCGTGATTACTTATCCATTACCTCAAATATTATAAGAAATATTATTGCACAAAGACCCATCACAAAATCAGCGTAATTAGCTTCTTGATAACGATTCAGTAGAGTTTTCATGGATTCGATTAAACCGGCTACTAAGTACTTTATGCCCAGTAGAACCTTGATTTGAGATTCCATAACCAGTATAGCCGTAGCTGAAGAAAAAGCTTTGATAACAGGCATCGAAATAAATTCGAATATATATCCTAGAAAATATTAAAAAAATTTGAGAAAAGAAGTAAAGTTTTGCAAGTTTTTGGAATCATCAACATTCTTTTTTATTAACGTTTCCGGCAAAGTGCCTGAGGTGAAGAGAGTCTCATCGGTACTTGGCGAAACGTTATAGCGAATAGTGTTGCACAGTCACAAGCCGCGAACATAGTTGCGGCCGGCGGATTGCAGTTATAACGTCCAAAAAGAATCCACATTTGGAAAAACGTGAAGTAGATGCGCCCTTTAATACCTTATGCCTAACTGTACGCCTGTTTTTATTTACCTATAGGTCATAATTTTCGATATGCTTTGACGAAACCGAGTGTTCCGGACCAAAGATGAATACCACTGAAATTGGATTGATTTGGAAAATTTTCGTGACTACTGCCCACATATTTTTCCGCATAGATTTTATTTTGAGAGAATCGTTGTACAAAAAAATCAATCAACCAATTTTCAAAATTCCTCAGCAAAAATCGCTGAATGAGAAAATGTCGGTATACCAAACTGATGCAGAAAATTTAGATCGGATGTGAACCCAAAACAACCGTTCCTATAAAAAGTATGCATTTATGTAGCAAGAAGATATAATTTTTCAGAGTTCATGATAAAAATTGACTTATCCAGCTTGACCTAAGAATTAACTATAGGATTCTAATGAAAAGTGAACCTTCACGTGACAGTGAAGTCCAGTTTTTAATATTTTGTGACGAAAATAAATGAAGAATGATGAGATTTTCGTTAAGAAAACTCATCCCATACAATGGCTCTCACAAAAACTATGGCTTGCACGGAAAAAAGGCCTAATTTGTGGTATTTTCTCACGACAATAAATGCCGAATTTTGTTAAGTGTTGCACAATTTTTGAATTTTTGTTGTACTATAAGATTTTCATTTGTTTTTAAAGGAATTAGCTGAAATATGTAGTATATGTGTGTTCTTCGGCAAGATGATTTTCGGCCTACAAATACATTTTTTCAAGAAATGAAAATTTTGTTATTGAAACAGCAGTGGGATCATTTCAACGCTAATTAATAAGACTGCTTTGTATCGATTGGAAGTAGTATCTGAATGAATAAAGGGAATAAAATTTGGTAAGATTCGTCGTCGATTCGGGGTTCAATTTTAAAAGTTGCCAGGAAAGAGTCTCATACTCGCAGTGTATTCACGTGCGAATGGGTCTAGCATGCGTCATATGCTGTCCAAATAAGTCAATCTACGTAATCTTTCCTAACGACATTTATCGCTTTGCCCGCTTTGGTACGCTTTCGCTCGGCAGAAACTGCGCTTTCGCCTCTTCGCGTGGTTGTTGCTCATAGGAATAAGTGTGCGATTCATTCGCAGTTACGAAACGATTAGGAAACAAACGAATTAATTTTAACTCACTTTAAATTCGTCGATGATAGTGAGTGAAGGTACTCGTGCAGAGCACTGCTGTATGCAATATTTCATGCAAATTATTAAGATAAGAGTCAGGACTATGAAAGCAGTGTTCGCGGGTTCAAATCTCATGTGCGGTAGAGTTTACTCGTAGAGTCGAATGGGCGGTGAGTGCTTTGCCGATAAAGGGACATATCGACTGTGACATAGCTTCCTTCTTATCTCCTTGCCTAACATCATTTTCCTCTAACAGTTGCGAATAGAGGACCTGAGTGATCTCGCATAGCCACGTTTATGCTTTTCGTCTTCTAGTCTCCAAGGTCTTTTACTTGATATTCATATCGCGGGAATTATTAAGAAAAAATTCATCGTGATGTGTTCCTTATCTATTTTAGAATTAATCCACTTTTAAGCCGCAGATAATATATCTTCATATTGGGAATGTAGAAAATAGTTTTCAACGTTCCGTCTTACTTGCGTTATAATAAATAAGCATAAAACCTCAGAGGGGAAAAAATCAAATTTAATCATTTGTAACTTTGTGTGAACATGGCCGATTTTCGCCATTTTCGCACGTAAAGAATAGTGTTTCGTAAAGTAAATATAGAAAATTTCAGCCTTATGACTTTCATACTTTCTGAGTAACGAGCAAAAATCCACAAATTTTTGTTAAGAAAAACGGATTTGCGTTCAGTTTACGATCCACAACGGGCTTCTGCTCTGATCAGTTATCCCATTTTCAACCTGCGTGCAAAAACTCTTAATGTCTCTACCAAATTTGAAGTCAATGTCTTCATTTTTGCGACTAGGAGGGTGCCAACAACAATCAAAAACTCACAAACGGGCAGACATCACTTAATCAATTTCGTATTACACGCTGCTCAAGAATATAAAGGGTATGAAAAAAGTAAGGCGGGTGTACATTCATCTCTTAGTGGTGCCTACAAGAAGAAAACGAAGTTACATTTATTCCCACAAACTTAGCAGAATCTTTCTTACATGTCGTTAATTTATTTATATATTTATTTATTTATTTATTTATTGTAAGGGTATAACAAGAAGACAATTAAATCATGGTTTTTTATTGCCTCAAATTACAATTTTCTATGGCACTTTCATATCATAACCATCCATAAATGGTTTTACAAAAATTAAATAGTGTATCCGTACGAAAAAGTAAATTACTGCTTATAACGTCGCCTTCATTCAAGCAATCTTTTAGTTTGAGGGTCCTTTGACTTTTTTTTTCAAACTTGATTTGATAAATGGCGTCGTGACCGTCAAGGAACTATCCGTTTATACAACTTAGTACAAATTTAAATATGAACTTATTCCCATTATTTATTTATCGACTTTAAATACTAATTAGCTTAGCCCTTAAACATTAAGTACTCTTTAATTCCACTGAATATATGTCGTAACTGAATTCTGTGTACATCAATAAATGATAACTGAAAACCAAATAGAAACCAACTGACGTAATTTATGATAATAAACGACGTTTTCTATTTACCCGACTCATAGGAATTTTTAGTGCAATTATATAATAATGAATATTGACGTCGTACAATAATTAATGTATTAAATAATTTCTTCGCTTGTATTTAAAATTTAGGAAAGTACGTGTAACACGTTTACTTACCCATACCCAGGCAACCCATTATTAGTTGAACGATGCCGCTTAAAAATGTCAGAATAAAGGCGAACTCAATCGGTTTGCCTACAGTGAATTGTACACTCACTAGGGCCACTAAGCTGGTGGGTCCCATAATAACTGTGTCAATAGAACCGCAAACTAGGTAAATAAATGAACCAATAAAAGCTGAACATAAGCCATACCGCGCCGGTAGGCCGGCTAATAGAGCGCAAGCTATACTTTCTGGTATAATAGTAAGGCCCAAAGTGATGCCAGCTATGAAATCATTAACAAACCATTGCCAATTGTAACGATGAATCCAGGTAAGTATACGTATACGATTGCTTAATAATTTTCTCACTTTACCGTACCGGTGTTTCTCGGAGAAAGTTGAAAATATTTTTTTTTCATTATCACCAGATTTTCGCGTTACATCTTCTTTAAGCATTTGCTCATTCCCCTCAAAATCTTTTTCTTTATTTGGACAATTAATAACCATTGTTAAAAAAAATGTTTATTTAATACGCAATCAGCATTAGAGGTGTCAATCGCTTATCTCTCTTAAGGAAAATGAGATATTTTAATAACATTCACTTGGCTTTTATCGTAAGTCGCAATCTTTTAAATGTTCTTTGAAATTCGTATTCGTTTGCTAACCATATCTACACAATCGCGTTGATCACCTTATGTCAAACAATTCACACTTGCTTTCAGTTTTCGTTATTTCCTCTTTCTAGAGGCGCAGCATCGCTTATAACCCAAGTAGGGATTAACTGCCCATACTGGCAATCAAGTGTAAATTATTAAAATTAAATAACAAAATTAAACAAACTTATTATATATATTGTTATTATTATTATTATTATTTTTTTTTTTTTTTTGATATTTACATAAATCTGTATAGCTGTCGTTATAAACTTTAGTATCGTTGTTGTTGATTTGCTTGTACGATGACGACTAAGATGCTAAATCATTTCAATTATTGTCGGGCGTACACATATCAGAAAATTGTCTCTTTTTCAACAGATAACAAATAAATTTATCTAAGAATTTATGACATTGAAAATTGAGACAAACGATCGCGACTTCGTCGTTGCTTTTCTCCCCTGATATAAATATTAAAATTCTACGACTTTCTCTTCTGTCGTCTTATTTTTTTTTTTAGTTTTTTTGATTTTGAAAAATTTTCAATAACAGCAATACTTGAACATTAACACGAAACGGTAGATTTTAACGTATACACGGAATCCGACAATGATTACGTCATAAACATTTTTCAATTTTTTTATTTCCAATTTGCAAACCACTGGGATCCAAAATTATTTTAAAACCAAGTAAAAAACGGTTGCTGTATAAGTTAATCCACATGCTTATGGCCATATTTACGTGAATGTGCATATCAATGAAAAAAATATATATATTTATACCACTGAAGGCTTTTTAAGATGAGAAATACCGTGCGTACATCAGACCAAAACTTTGGTTTGAATTGAACATTGCTTTCACATAAGCTTGACATAAGTCCCATTTGCAAAAGACGAGGTTAGATGTTTCAAGTAGATCAGTTTGGCAAACAAGCTATGTACCGATATGTACTTTCGAGTGCATAAGGCGCCAGGAACTGAGACTTATAGTTTTAGATGATGGAACCGGCTAGAGAAAAATCGTCTTGTTTATGCCTAAATATGGACGCAAACTAATAGTTTTGGCTTACTTTCTCAAACGAATTTACCTGTCTCCATTCAACAAATAGCTCGGCTCCCAAAACTAAATGGTCAAAAACCAACCGCAGATAAGAGGCACTGATGTCAATGCTAGCGTTACGCGCATTCTCTAAATGTAATATTAAGGTAGAGTAGTTCCCACGATATTCAACTGTAGTTTGTGCTTGTGCCGCGCGGTTTTTGCAATGACTAAGCAAGAGAGGGGAAAGTTAACTGTACCCATAGTCGCGGACAGAGTTATCGGATTGATATCAGCGTATATGGTAGGCACAAAATCAAACGGCAACGCTCACCAATAGCTTACCGTTTGATCCGAACGTATAAATGCCGCCAAGATTGAATTCGCCTCCTGGATAAAGATTTAGGCGACAATTGCCTTTTACTATTTTATTACGAGCTACTTGGTCCGAATAGTCCAGAACCACTGCATCAAAAAGCTTCGACTTTTAACTTGCGGCCAAGTACTGAAATTGCCACATATTACAGGGATTTGAACTTCCTTTCGAACACATTCGAAAGCGTGAGGGAAATTTTATAAACACTTTTGGACACCGACCGTATTCCATTTATAAATTATTCAGTGGTTGTCCCTCGTTTTGTTAATTTACCTAAATTAGTTTAGCAAAATAAAATTTTTTCAATTCTGTTTATCTTTTGCTTTCAATTTGTTTTAAATGACATTCTGCGTAAAACTAAAACAGAGCAGAGCAGATTTTAAGCATTTTCTCAGATTGAAATTATTTCTCTTAAGTCATTTCTATCGCACCTGCTATAAAATCATTAAGCGCGCCTACCGCTTCGCTTTACTGTTTGCTTGCCCGTTTGTGTCTGTATCGGTGCTTGACAATTCTACTAATCAAATCAGTTCAAACTGGCCAACACAATGAAAGTTTTTCGTGAATTATAAGCAAAAAGCCCACTATTGGAAATATAGTGACATCCGACGTAATGCTTTCGCGTTGTGCTGGCATTATAGTACAATTTGCTTATTTACGAAATAACTATTAAGAAGATTGGTTCTGTATTGGAAACTTTAGCCTTGCTTGATTCTATACTTTTTATCACACGCGACTCTCCTTGCGTGCAGTTGTCTCCAATTACCCATCGAAAATATTTGATTCCATTAATGGGACCCACAATTAGCCAATCTGCATGAGGTTCAGCTTTCATTGTTTCGCATTTAATGGAGCTCTTCAGATTGATTGTTTGACAGAGATTAATTTCGTGAGTTAAGCCTTAAATCTTCCACCGATACGTTGGCAGAACGGCTTCAAAGATTTTATCAGTGTCCAAAGGCTGATCGAGGTAATAAAGATATCCTTCTTTTTAGCGAATGCGTTTATTTCATGTGAGGAATAAAAACTACTTTGCCTAAACTATTTTTCAATATTAATTGCACATATTTCCGTCTTATCCATGCGTCTGCGGAAAGGGCTCCTGTTCTTTCGGCGCTACGCACAAATGAGCACTTTTTTAGGTGTCAGTATAAGAATTGAATTGATTGGTTGAATAGGCAATTAGAGGAACAGTCCGTCAATGTGGCGAGAAAGACTGTGCGTACCACTTAATGCTTATTTTTCCTAGTTAGGTTTCGCCATAAATAGTTGATCATACCAGGTTTTTTGGCACATTGCGTCCATTTTCCGCTTCAGGCTTATCAACTATTGTTTGTGGTGAGTAGAGAACTGTGCTAGACGAAGTGGTAATCAGATGAGCCCTATTATGATGCTTTTCCTTTTTTATATGGCAGAATGCTTGAAACAGGAATTACACAGACGTACAGATGGACATGTTTAAATCGATTCAGAATTTGATGCTGAGCAAGAGCACATACGTCTTGTAGGACCTCTTAAGCTTCTTCCTGGGCTTTGAACAAATCGAACATATCCCTCGTCCTTCAGAGTAACATGTGTAACTCATACGCAAGATTATGTGTGTTAATGTGTCGATTATGTCAAGAACGTACTAAATTTAAAAAAAGCGAAAATAAAAACCAGAAAATTTCAAAAAAAAGTTAAAAACGTAAGGAGCAAAGAGATTTCCTTGAAAAGATTAATGTTTATGTGTGCTTACGAGAACATAAGTAAAGAGAAGACTTTGCTTTTGTTATAATTTGTGCCAAAATGCTTTTTATTTATTTTGGCATAAGTTTAAATTAATCTGCAATGAAAAAACTTTCTCCAAAGCTCATAGCTCGGTGGGCAGGTAACATATGTAAATGAAAATAAAGTAAGAAGTAAATAAATTTCGGAATTAGTTGCCAAGTTGTCGAAAGTAAGAAGGAAACCAACAGAATAAGAGAGCATTCATTGAAAGTATTTGTTGCCTCAGTTTCAATATTTATTTTTAAAAAAATGTGCAAATATTGAGTTAATTTCTTTCAGATCTAAACCAAAGTCCAACTATAACGTTTTTGATTAACCAAAGAGCTATCTTTTATAACAGCGTCAAAGAAAATTTTTCTTAATAAATCCGAAGTTAAAATAAAAACACTTCTCGCCTTCACTTATTCGTCTAAATTTGTTGCCAATCAAATAATTATAATACCAAAAGGTTTGTTGTCGTCTTCTGAAAGAATCGAAAACATATTGACGATGTATTTAAAGGATAATGACAACAAGAAAATCACAGGAAGACATAGCACATCATTGCTTTGCTTAATGCAGTTACTTAGATAACGACTTGCAAAAATAAGACATTCTATGGAAGATGGTCGATGGTGTTCGGACCAACCCATGTTGGTGAAACAACTTTTATCAAATCATCTCAAACATTCCGACCTGTAAGAAGAACATAAGAAAGAAAGACAGACAGTCAGACTTGCATGCTTAAATCAATTCAGAACGTGATTCCCACTCGATCGGAATAATGATCGGCGAGTAGATGACCAACCTACAAAAATAAATGAAATATTTTAGGTTCTTGCAAACATTTTGGACGCTTATCATGTAGAGCTCAGAATTTCAATTCTGGCATTAATTGCTTTGGTTATTTAATTTGAAGAAATAGGTTGCCGAAGCCCACCAAACATTTTCAGAAGCCTATGGTTCTGCTGCTTCCTATCTCTTTTGCCATTTTTGGTCTCAACTGTTTCCAAGTGGTTATTTTGAAGAACGGCCTAGAGGTTTAAAAAAGTGCGAAGACAACGAATTGCAAAGCTTATTGGACGAAAGTCTAGCTGAAACTCTTAGAGAACTTTCGATGAGCTTAGCAATTGATTGATCAATTGCTTCTTCGTTTCGTTCACATCTGACGAGAAAGATCGGAAAGGAAGAAAAATGGCCACCATACGAATTGAGTGAAAATGCCATTTCGTCCACATTTTGCAGGCGTTGTCAAGGACACACTGTTGCAGCTCGAATGGGAAATTCTGTTGCCGCTAGCGCATTTACCAGATATAGCAGTTTTTGAGTATCATTTGTTCGGATCGATACACCATGGCATGGCTGGCACGACGCTCCCCAAAGTTGTAGAAGTGGGAAAACGGCTCGATGATTGGACCGCTGTCAAGACAATATAAGTTCGTTCGACACGGTACGCCTCGCTGCCAGAAAAATGCGAAAACGCTTTACAAAACGATTGAACATATTTCGATTAATATATATTGTACCAAATTTTGTCATCAAATGCCTTCTTCAAGCGAAACAAGTAAGACGATTATATTCGGTCGTGAACGAATATTTTATACCCATCACCCTTACCCTTAAAAAAGACAGAAACGGTAAAGCGGCAAAATGTTCATATTCTACAATATGGAGAAGCCGCAGCTGATTTTTGCTAATCTCAAAATACAACTTTTTCTCGCATAGGCGTGCGGACGGTTTAGGCAAGTCTTATGAAAAGTTTGCGTCATTTCTAAATATTTTGCATATTTGTTGGCGTTAGTTTCATTTTCGCTAATGCGAGAGTGTTTACCGCTGATTCTACACAGTTACCCAGACAGATAGATGGACAGACGGACATGTTCAGGAGCATTACAAATCTTACAGTGGTCAAGAATATGTACACGTTATGGGGTTTGGAGCTTGTTTCTGCGCATTATGAAGGTATCAAAAAGAAAAAAATTAAACCTCGATATACTACAATGTAAGGTTC